AAATACTTCTATCAGATTAGCCTGTGGGCAAGACTATAGGGCATTTTCTTAAGAAATGATGGGAGCAAGTCCAATGTGGACATGCTATCCCTAGGGCAAGTTGTCCTGGGTTGTATAAGAAACTGAGCAAATGAGAGGGAGAACTGTGGTTGGAATGTAAAATGAAAAAAAAAAAGTAAAAAGAAACTTAATCAGCCATGGGGAGCAAGGCGGTAAGAAGCACTGCTTCATGGTCTTTGCTTCAGTTCCAGCCTCCAGGTTCCTGCCTTGAATTGCTGTCTTGACTTCCCTCAGTGATGAACTGTTACTTAGAAGTTTAAAATGAAATAAACCCCTAACTCCCAAGTTGCTTTAGGTCATGGTGTTTTATTACAGCAACAGCTACCTAAGACAACTATTGCTCCATCATTTCCTCAAATTCCTTTACTACCACTTTTACCTTCCCTTCCTTCCTCATTCTCTCTTGTTTTTCTTCTCTTCCCTTGTTCTGCTTGAGGTAGGTGGCCTTTAAGAACAAGCAGCCTCAGTTCCTGAGGGAAGAATGCATTAACACACCCCATGTGCCAACACTTGCCAGGGATGGAGGGAAGGGCTGTAGGGAGAGCATTTCTCACCTCCCACAGTGCTGTCTGCCCCGCCTCAGCCTAGTTGCTTTGTTTAAGGTGTGTCAGAGTGGACTCTGGGGTGGCGTATTTTGTCCATTGAGCTGCACATTTCATCACTGGTAGGCAGGGAACATGTCTGTGTTTTCAGAAGGGATGGGCCCTTCTGAAGAATCCAGAAGGAATCAGATTTGTGGTAGATACCTTGCATCATGGCTCCCTGGCAGGCACCACCAGAACTGGAGATAGGAAGTTGTGCATTTTTGTGATGTCGTTTTTTTGTTTTTGTTTTTGTTTTTTTGTTTTTTTTTTCTGATTACAATACATCATTCAGTGAAGTATGTCAGAGAGTGCCATTTGCAAGGGCTTAGTCAGCACATTTGTCCTTTCCGGGATCTTTTGGATTAATAATTGTTGCATTTATCCTACAGAATTTTAATAAAGATAAAAACCTCATGTTTACTATGCATTTGATAAATCATATGAATGAGGCAGACTATAATACTTGAAATCAAGGTTGCATATGTGCCTGTGGCATGAAATACCAAATCCTTTGGATATTTGCTCCCTCTTTCAGAGGAGAATGAAGGGAAGAGGTGTGGCAGCTGCCATCCTCCAGATGATCAAGTAGGCTTCCAGACCACCCAACTTCATTTTCTTAATTGAAATTGAAGAGCCAAGAAGCAAGCAGACTAAAGAAAGACTCATAAGTTTTTTCAACCAAAGGGATTCAATGGCAGGATCTGATATACTCTTATTATGAAAGGAAGGAGGCCATTTTAAACAATTTTATAATGGTCTAAAATACCTAGAGTCTTTGGGAATGAAAACTGGCATACAAAATTATATGGGGGAAATTCAACTACTATGCCCTCTGCTGGTTTGCATTGACTTTATTAGCATAGTCACTGCTCAGGAACAGTTTCATGACCAGAGGATATCCAAGCCTTTTCAATGAGATATGAAATCTGAACCAAGGGACTGAGTTGGGGCAATATTAAACAGATGCCAAAACCTAGATACCCGTTGCAATTTAGAAGATAAAATTCCTAGTGAACCAGCTTCAGCAAGAGTTTTTGATTATCAGAGCCATGAGCTGCCCAAGAACAAGAAAACAGCTGTTAAGAACAGTGAGGTTTAGAGTTCTGGGAAATATCCCATACCACGTGACTCTCCAACCCTTCTGACCCAATTCTCATTGTGCAGTGGGGAAAACCACATGCTCCCATGTCATGATTGTTCTGTGACTTAAAGAGAGTATAATGTCACTTGAAGATCAAATATGTTAAATGCCATAAATAATTTATAACAAGCACCTGGAAACCACATATAGAAAGAGACCTAGCATTGGGGTTGTAACTTCTTCTGAGGTATTAGACAGATGGGAGAAGATACTCAGTTTTATGATTCATTTATTTAGAAAAAAAACAGAAGTCTGACAAATGGTTTTATTAGGTTGGTGTTATGGGCTACTACCCACAACACTTCTATTCTCAAAATAAGCAAAGGAAAACAAGTGAACAAACAGCACTCAGGGGTTATAATTCTCATCTGGAAGGTCTTCTATCCTGCACTTTGCATTCGAAGAGCAAGCATTTTCTGACTTCCCACTAACCATTCTTCTACAAGAGGCCATTTCCAATCATACCTTAGATCTTGGGAGCCAATGACAAGGGAAGGAGAATTGGTTTACTTTCCCTGTCTCAGAAGAGCTGTGTTGAGGCTTGAGAGCTTCAGGCTTGGGCAGTGAGTTGAAGCCTTATTCCTGGGGGTAGGGGGGTGCATACCTCTTGTCCTTGTTGGCAGTGACCTCATCAGGTATTGAAGTGTTCTCATCTACTCTAGATGAGCTACCTCAGTCACCTCCATCTCTTTGTCCTTTCTTTCCTCCTATAAAGGCTTGAGAGGTGCAAGAGAAAGAACGGAACACATAAATAAATACTGAGTATGTGAATGCTAGCCTATTGCAAACAGTACATGCTGGTCCAAGGACAGATGTTCTGTTGTTTGTATTAATTTTCCAAACATCTGAAGTCTCCTCTAAAACTTAGTCCATGGAGTACATGCCAAAACCTCACAACTGATGACTAAAAGAAAAAAAAAAAGCAAAATATAGTATGGTAGGGAGCCTTTGTCTTTGGGGAAGGCCATTCATGCAAAACTTACCTCATTTTAGAATTGCAGGGCACCTCTCCACTGTGTCATGTTGTATGTGAATGGCGCCCCCTAGTGTGAAGCAAGCTGAGCCCTCTACATGGCCTAGGCATGTTGTATGTGAATGGCGCCCCCTAGTGTGAAGCAAGCTGAGCCCTCTGTTTGTCCTAGATATTCATTCATTCAAACATCCTCACTGAGCTGAACATGGGCCAAGCAGGTTTCTAAAGTGCTGGGGAGATGGAGATGGCATTGTACATACAAGAGCTTCGGGTCAGACAGATCTTACCCTCTAACTGACTAGTTTTCAAAAGCATCTCAACAACTGAACCAAATACATCCATATGCACATTTTAGCCCATGCTCCGTACAAAGACTGACTCTGCTCTGTCTAGGCTTTTATGTTCTGTCAAGTATGGAGGCAGAAAATATAGAAGAGCAACAGACTGACCCTCTGTTCATATCCAATGCTTAACTCATGTTTAATGGGGACCCTGTGCACATAGAAAACTCAACTAATTAACTTTCCATTTCAATTTTATATCCCCCACCCAAGTGCCTATAATTGCCTGTGTTTCTCTCAGGAAAAAGTCGTTCCCAGAGATGATCTGTTAGGCAAGAGAGAAGGGAAAAGTAGAAGGAGGTGGGGGTGATAAAATGCTGCCACACTGGACCTGTCTGAATAACTGTCCTGGAGACTAAAATGCAAGGAAGTCATTGAGGTCCAAGGGGCACCTGGTGCCAATTTTTGGTTTGTTTCTAACCACCTGTAGATTTATTTATTCTCTGGAAATCTCCAGGCCTCTTAGGAGAAGTGCTGAATTTAAGGAACTCTCATGCATAATCAATTTCTCAGCCTCATGGCACCTACATGCCAGTGAATGGAAAGTTTGTTTTATCGGGATGGAAGGAAAATGACACTAAAAGATTTGGTCACTCAGTTCCTTCCATGCCTGAGAGGTTATTAGTATTACTACTAATAAGTTGAAGCTTCAGGAAAACCAAAAGTAATACTTGTATTGGGTTTGGGAATAGGCTTTAAATACTTTGGTGGTCTCAAATAGTTTGTAATTTTCCTAATTAAAAAACTCACATTATGTTCCCTTGGATAAGATATATATATATCTTTGTGTGTGTTCACAGTACCCAGGACCCAAATCTGGTGAAAAAGTCATTATTATATAAAGGTGTAAAGCTCATATAGAAGCATTAATATCGTGTGTGTGTGTGTGTGTGTGTGTGTGTGTGTGTGTGTGTGTGTGTGTGTGTGTAGCAAAAACATCTATGTTCACTATTTCCCCTTTTCTACCCGCCTGCCAGGAATCTTTATTGCCAAAACTCCTGATCGATTAATAAAAATGGTAATCACAGCAAAATGTTAACATTAATCTACATATTACTTTTCTTCAAGTTTGGAAGCATTTCCTGAAAGCTGTCAAAGGTGATTTTTTCCCCCTTTCTCCTCCTTTAAATCACAAAGCAAATTCCCCCTGTCTATTCCCCCACCCCTTCTTAAAAAAAAAAAAAGTTGTGGAGTTTTGCTTTTCTGTTCACTGCACTCCTGGCCAAAGTAAAGCCCTCTTTCTCAATGACGTCAAGATCTTTAGCAAGATTAGGCTTTCATTTCTCTATTGCAGCAATTAGCCAGGGAATGTATAAAAGGCTTCGGGGAGACTCACTGGGCTGCAGAGAGAAGCACTCTGCTGCACAGGCAGAAGATAGCAAAGAGGAAAAGCCAGAGGGAGGGGCAGAGGGCTCAGCCGCTCCTGGAGAACCTGGAGAAAGGACAGACAAGAGACAGGCGGGGAAGAGGAGAAGAGAAAGTATGTTTAACACGGAGTGAAGACAGACAGACAGACAGACAGAAAGAAAGAAAGCAAAAACAAACAAACCCTACCCTTACAGCACAGTTAAGAAATTGGCAGTGCAGGAAGAAGTCAGACTGCGTTTAAAGGGACATGAAAACTCAAAGAAATTTTTACCATCTCTGCAGTCTGTAGGTGTCTGGAAATGAAAGTAGAGCTTCCTGTCTTTAACGGACTCTGACAGGGGTAACTGGATTAGGGACTGGTACGCCAGAGTTTTTTTTTTTTTTCTTTCTTTCCTTTTTTAAAAAACCATCTTAAATCCTGAAAAAAAAATGCATCTCGGAATTGAATGAATTGATGGGCACACTCCAACTGCTGGACTGCAGAGAGCGAACTTAGTCTTGCCACTCCTGCTTCTTTCAAAGACGAGACAACTTGGGCTTCCTTCTAATTTAGTTTTTTCTCCTTCTCCCCCACCCCCACTCCCAACCTCCCCCAACCCTGGTCCCCCACCTCCTCTACCACCACCTTCTTTTTCAAAAAGTGGGTGAAGGGGGAAGCAGAGCACACAGGGGCCAGGCTGCGGAGGCAGAGAAGATGGGACTCCTCAGCGTAGACTTGCTGATCACACTGCAGATTCTGCCAGTCTTTTTCTCCAACTGCCTCTTCCTGGCGCTCTATGACTCGGTCATTCTACTCAAGCACGTGGCGCTGCTGCTCAGCCGCTCCAAGTCCACTCGCGGAGAGTGGCGACGCATGCTGACCTCAGAGGGACTTCGCTGTGTCTGGAAGAGCTTCCTCCTAGATGCCTACAAACAGGTGAGCAGCACCCTACTGGGCTTCTAGGTCAGCAGGACCAGGGGGACTAGAAGGTATGGGGCTGCAGGCCATGGGGAGCCCTATCTGGGGTGGCCTGCCCAGTGATTATGTTCAAGGGAGTCTCAATGTCACTTGGGACACCTGTTGCACAGGTTAGATTTGGGAGTGACAGATATTGAGCCATCGGGACTCTGGGTGACTTCAGCAGGAGTCTTAACCAGGGCTGCTGTTACCTTGCTCTGATTTGGCTGCTTGGGGCAGGGGTTGTGGTGGTGAAATAACTCTGGGTAAAGTCAGAATTATTGGAGGCTGTGAGCTGCATTTGTTCTGCTCTTGGCATGAGCTGGCTTCTGCTGCTGTCCTTGACAGGAGGGTGTGTGAGATGTAGTAGGAAGGCTTGAATGTTTCCTTTTTGCTGAAATGGTCAGAGTTGAATGATGATGGTGGTGGTAGTGGTGGTGGTGGTGGTGACAGTGGCCCTAGCCCCTTCATTTCTTGGGGAGATCAGAGCTCCTGGAAGCAAGCCCCGTGCAGCCTCATACTTTGTTGGGATTTGTGAATTCCTAGTTATTAAGTGTCACTTTGCAAAAGAAAGATCGAGGAACTGTCAGAAATCCAAACTTTGTAAGTGAAACAAAATCTACAGATAAGTTACCACAGAAAGCGCTGATGGGTCTGTGATGTGTTTGAAGGTCAGGTTCTGGGCGTTAGAATGGCCACCTCCCTTACCTGTCTAAGGTGTGTTCCCATCCACATTTGAAAACACCAGAGCGGGCCACTGATGTTTTAAAGCAAATACTTCTGGTGTTCCAGCCTTTCAGATGCTGGGAGATATTGAGAGAATGGAATCTGTCAGGGCAAAGAGAAATACTTTTATATGGTCCTCCATCCCTTAGGTCCATAGGCCTCCTGATGCATCCTGGGTATTAGGAATAATGAATGCATTTGGAAAGAAGTTTCTACAAAAGGAGGAAATATGTCCCTAGGGGTACTGAGAGATTGCTGGAGAAGGGAGTTTGCAATAGTGCAGCCAGATGTTCAACCCAGTGGCATTCTTCAGACAGGTGGAATGCTAGACACCATGATGGAAACTCAGAATAGCAGAGGAGGAAGGGAAGAGGGAAGGAGCCCTGCCTTCCCCCTCCCACAAATAAACAGTGGAAAAATCAATCCATGTGCCAGGGAAATAAAAGGAAAGCATTCAGGGCAGGGTGTTTCACTGGAAAGGAAATGTTGAAGAAGAAAATGCCTTTTGTGAACAGGCTGTGTGATTCATGACATTATTATTGCAAGTAACCCGAATAAGGTTACTTGCTGTGCTGAGTACATGTCAAATGTCAAGCCCCCTTTTTAGCAAGTAGGAACACTCTCATCAGCACAGGAATGGCTGCCTGGAGTCCCCTGTAGTTAAAGTTCAGTTATATCATGTATGTAGAGGCAATAAAAGGTATGGACATGGAGATACTGAGAGATAATCTCAACCCACAGATGTGCACACAGAATGTGACATTTTTAGGTATATTTAGGTGTCGGGAGCTTGTAGGAGTGGAGCATTGTTCCTGTACATTAAAAGATTACGAATTAGTCAATCCCTTCCACTACATCTATGCATCATGTCTTAGATAATATGGGATGCTAGTTGCCTGAACTCAGTATATTAAAAGCTTGCCTTTTGGAACACAATGGACTTCTGCTTAGAAAAATATAAAGAGAATTTTACCCACATGCATATAAGTATTATTTTCACCAGCACTCGGGAGGCAGAGGCAGGCAGATCTCTGTGAGTTCGAGGCCAGCCTGGTCTCCAGAGCAAGTGCCAGGATAGGTGCCAGGTTTCTCCACAGAGAAACCCTGTCTCAAAAACCAATAAATAAATAAATAAATAAATAAATAAATAAATATTATTTTCATATCAACTTTGGAGACTACAAAAGCACCCAAAAACTTTATGTGAGGTGTTTTTCTCATCAAGAAGATCACCAAAGTGAAAAAGGAAAAAACAAGCGCATACCCCTATAATAAACTTCATTAGATCCTTTTTCACTAATGTATAGTGTTGCATTGTGCTGTAGTCTGTTATTTGTGCTCATGGGAGGTTAGAAAGATGAATGATTTGCTTTTACTTTTGGCATATGGTTTGTGTATTCTTCTTATTTATTTCTTTGTCTCTGCACACTGATTTGATTAGTGACCAAGTTCATGACTTACCATATTATACTTGCTTTTAATAATTTATACAATAGCTACTATGTGCAAAAGAAAACACATGCCCAGAGAAAAGGCTGGGCTGAGTGTAAGATAAATGAAATCACGAAGAGTACAAAGTGAGCTAGATTCTGTCCTCTTCTGCCTTTGAGTATGACTGGTATCGTGGCGGATGTGGTGGCCTCCGAAGCTTACTCAGAACCTCTCAAACAGGTTGAATCATTTGCCAAATGCTGTGTCATCCATGGCACACTGTCTTTAGGTGTGACTGTTTCCATAGATGCCAGAGGAGATCCTGTCTGACATTGCATCTTGAGATTTCACAATCTTGACTTGCATTATTTGCTCACTTCCACTCTCAAAGCAGACTTCTCCAGGATGAGGGGTGTGTCCACATGGCATTCAATTAGACAGATCATTCATTACTCCCAACAATCTTGGTTAGCTATTAAATTTGAGACAATATTTATAGGTGCTGTATTTATTCACAGAGGTAGTGACACAGACATGAGCTAGAGTGAGGAGGGGGGAAGAAGAACAGAATGAAATACTAATAATAAAAACTGTGATTTAAAATCAACTTTATAAAGAAGTTACCAAAGATCACACAGGCTTGGTAATGGTCAGGAGGTCTGTGTGCAATTTGGATTGAAAAGGAAATCTAGAAACCTGTGAAAGTGAGCAAACAGCAGATATTTGTTATTTAAGTTTCCTCGTTGTCTTTGCTTGTGAACACTGTACCCTTGTGTTGGTGTGCAGAGACGCAGAAATGCAACCCATAAGCAAGCTGTCCTCCCTTGGAGCCTAGCTCTTACCTAAATGGCATGTAAAAGTAAGCAGACGGTATAGATGCTGACAAGCAGGCTCATTTTTCTGCACGGCTAATGTTGCAGTTGCACAGAAAACATGCTCATTGGAACATATAATTTTGGTTTTGAAAGAGTCTCTTTAACATTCTCCTCCTTCTCTTTATTCACCTCAAGCCTTTTGACACAGGATTCTGCAGTGAAAAGTGGCTCTTTAAAGAGAGAAACTGTCCTAAAAGTACACAAAGAAGGCCACAGCCAGAGCTTGTCTGTCACTTGGATAAAACATAGCGAAATGATAGGGCTTTGAGCTTCATCTTCAAGATACAAATCAAAATGAGAATGGCCAAAAAAAAGGGGAACTTAACCCAGAAGATGGAATAGGTAGGCTGCTCTTCAAGTCTGCTTTACTTGGCCCATCTGAATGGGGATGGCTAAAGCCCTGCCTAATGATTGTTTGGCCATGTTTCTAAGGACATTGGTGTAGCCTGATCATTATGTTAAAGAATTGGAAACTTCCTGAGAGTTAAGTTCCAGTACTTTGGATGACAAAATGTCTGTGTAAATATTCTGATTTGTGCCCATCCCCCATTTTGGTCATTTGTTTCACCACTCACCATGAGAGTGTGCAGTACTTTACGCAAAAGCTCCTCTTAGGCTGTGGGGGGGAAAATCAGAAACAAACAAAAACAAGGTTAGCAGTTATGTGCTGTATTTCCAGATCACCCAGTGAATGGTTCCATTTTCCCTTGAGTCTGTATCTTGCAGCATTATCCTCTTTTCCCTAAGTGCTCAACACTGTGCTGAAAAGGAACCCATCATCAAGGGAGTCAAATTCTTATACACACTATGCATTTGTGCTTTTGTTCACGTTTATAAACGTCTGCTATCACCTTTGAACGTGGCCCAGAGATGTCATCATCAGTAAACTTGCAAAAGCCTCACCCACTCCCTGAGTGGGCATTGTGCTCCTGCCCACTGGAGGAAATATACGAATGAATGACTGCAATAGTGCAGATGAGAGCGACAAAGGTCAGTGGTGACGCTATCACATTTTACGTGTGTCCTTTCTGATCCTTGCAAAATAAAGAGACCCTTTGGGAACATTGGAACTTCAAGACCAATTAGTGGAAATGATGCTTCTTGTGTTCGGGCATTAAATACTAGGCAGGGTTCTCTTTAGGAGGCTGATGCTGGCAGGGAAAGAGGTACCGACCTAATTACTCTTCCGCAAGAGCAAAAAATGCCTTTTGAATGCCTCTTTGGCAAATATGTCTCATTAAGGACAAAAACTAAACACAAACCCTCTAAGAAGCAGAAATTAAGATGATAGGTAACTTGTGGCCAGGAGACTTTCCGTGCCACTGTGGGAAATTAAAACAAAGTTTGGGAGTACCAGGGGATGATTTGTTTTTGTTGAGTCTTTCCTGTAGCCTCAGTGTTATTATGGGACCGACTTTATTTTCTTCATCATTTTGGCTCTATGTCAGGGAATATTTGCTCCTGTCTTCCATTGTGAAGGCCATGGGGTTTCTCCCAGTCCATCTCAGCAGGGTTTCTAACCAAGGAAATCTAGAAATTCTCCACCAGGAATTCTAATCTAATGGAAATTTAATTTTCATAGTGATTTGGGCAAAGAGATGATAATGGATAGAAATGTGTTTAAGAAGTGTTTTTAAGACTAAGTCTATTTTTTAAAATTTAGCTAACCTATCCCTCATCAGGTTTTAGAAAAGATGAATGAATTTATAACTTGTTTTATGAGGCTTATAAAATCTGACTATTGGTCTGCTTACACTTGAGTTTACACCTCTGTCTTTGCCTCTGTCTATCTCTGTCTATGTCTCTGTCTCTGTATCTCTCTCTCTGTCTGTGTCTCTGTCTCTGTCTCTCTCTCTCTTCTGTGTGTGTGTGTGTGTGTGTGTGTGTGTGTGTGTGTAATTATTTTGTTATGCCAGAGCTCAAACCTGGGACTTTATGGATGTGTCCCAGCGTACTTAATTTTATTAGTACCATTAATCTTGCCTATGTATTTTCTCTAACCTGTGACCTTCATGAATAAGGTACTCATAAATGACTTTTTAGTGTTCTGTAGGATTCTGTAATTCTTAGTTCTAACTTGCAGAACTAAGTAAAGAGGGTTTATCTCATTTTTTTTTTATTTGCTGGTTAGGTGAAATAATTAAGAATAGGTCAATGACATTAATATTGACTACAGCAGGTCTCTGGTGAAAGGGCAGGGTTTCCATTTCTGAATGTATATGCTTTATTATGTATGTCCATCACTGTTCACTGCAGGTCAGGTTTGCTATTCTTACCCGACCTAGGATTATAAGAACCAGAGTTTATTGACTAATTCACTTCATAAAGCTTTTAGGATGTATATTTTCCAGACTAACAAAATGCTCAACACCTCCACCACCAGGGACATTAAGAATTTGTTGAATTCCCTAATTTTTAAACTTAGAGTGTGTGATTCTTGTACTACATTTTCTAAGGTAATTTAGAAACTAAAATTTCCTTGTTTTGGAAAGAGTTGTGAGGCAGAACTCTCCATTGTCTCTAAGCAGTGACATGCACTTAAACTATCCAAGGAAATTAATTGTAGGTAACAAGAGGTGATCTGTGACCAAAATATCAGATAGGATTGTTCGGGTCAATAGTTAGAATGACACAAGTGTCAACCAGTCTGTTTGGGTGACAGCCAGGAAGACCTGGGCCTGTTTTTCAAGACCATGCAGTTGTTCGTAGTACTCAACAATGGCTCCCAAATGCAGATGGATACTTTCACCAGAATGACCCCTCTAGTCTACAGCACAGAGATTACTACATGACTGATCTAACAAAAAGTCTCTACAACGAACTCATCAGAATGCATCCAGGCCTTCATTTCACAGGCCATGGAGGAACATTGCACAGCCAGAGGTGCTCAAAGCAGTCCTGATATCATTGTATGATTCGAAGGGAAGTGAGAAGTAATGGAAAACACTTCATAACCTTGTTTAGGAACAAGTATCAAGAGACCCCGAGATTTTAAAGCTCATCACATGCCTAAAATGTGTGTCTTTAAGTTTAACATGTGTTTCAGTGCTTCAAAGGGTTGTGTAGTTCACTATGAGACCATCTGGTCAAAATTGAATTATGAGAACTTGCTATCTAATGTTGATTGGAAAACAGCCAAGATGATTCATATAAATATATACTATGTATATATTAAATTACATCTAAGAAGGCAGATTATGATTTTAAGATTTTAAGGGCCACCAGTAGTACTTATTTCAAAACAGCCCCGAGAGTTTCGAGAAGAGTAAGAAAGAACCTTGATTCTTTCCCTAAGTGAAAATAAGTTAGGTCTTGACATTAAAACATCTGAACAAAAGTCTCTTGAGTGTTTTACACCAGTGTGCATCATTGCTCTCCAGCAATTCACTTTTAAGTAGCTTCAATTAACAGCAGTTTTATATGGGACTATATTTATATGAGAGAAATAAGTCGATCCAGTTGGAAATGTCTTGCAATATTAAAGATAGTGGATAAAAATCAATTGTACCATTGTAAGCTATCCCTAATGGTATTAGCTTTGATTAAACCATTCTAGAAGGAGATCCAATTGTGCTAATTCGGAATGAAGTAATTGGCTCTTTTCTGTTGCCTGCTTTTTATTATCAATTTACAGATTCAAAGGCCACTAACTTTCAGTATTCTGTGTTTAACTATTTAAACCATGTGCTAAGAGGGCTCATGGAATAATTTTAGTCAATGTGCCTTGATCTGAATGCTTATTGTTCTGAGGGGCTTGTTAATAAATGTGCTAGAAAGCACATGGTTCAGGTCTTCCAATTTATATAGTATAGGGAAAACCCACAATACATGGAAAGTGAGAACTTAGCTGAAAGTCAGATTGTGGAGTAGCTGTTTATTTTATGTCTATTTCTGTTTTTCAAGGGTAGCTTTAGCTTGCATAATGTGATCAGCAGCCCCAAGAACAAGAGATCACACCATGCATGCTGAGGGGAGCATAGATCTCTCAGAAAAATTTTTTTTTTTTTTTTTTTTTTTTTTTTTTGGACTGGTGATTTCCCAAGAAGAGTGGTGGTGTGCCATATGTGGTGGGGTGCTGTCTGACAGTGGCAGCTCTTACCACCACAGTCATTTATAGAGCTCCTTTCCTTAGCTTATCCTGCAGTAGCCACAGAAGGAGAGCAGGCATGAAGGCCTAGATTTTCCAGTGGAAAGCACTGACAAGGGCAAGAGGGAGGAATCCTATTTACAGATGGTGGATTATAGATTGCCCAGCTTTGTCCAGAGACAGATCCCGCTGGTATTCTGGTCCTCTGGTTAATATTAAAGAACTTACATTGTGTTGGTGAAATAGTTCACTGGGTGACTCTTGCTGCCAAGTCTGATGACAGGAGTCTGAACTCGAGGACCTGCATGATGGTGGAAGGGGTGAACTGACTCCCACAAGTTGTCCCCTGACTTCTGCAAGTGCTAAAACACACAACAACAACCAAATAAACAAATAAATGTAATATTTTATTATTTCAAAGAGGAGAAAAGAGAAAACAAATTAAACTCATGTGTGTGAAAATGCAGGTCTTGCCTGAGTCTTTTAGAATTAAAAAAGAGGCAGTCCATTCCAAAAATGAGATAATTCATCTTAAAGTGGGCCATTTACTTTTAACTTTTAAAATGAAGTCAATTAATCATTCATTCTATAATGCTTGTTAGGCATTGGCAGAAAAGTGAGAACAGCAAAGAACACCAGAATTGACTTAATTATGAAAACAGTTTGCATCTTCAGAGATGGAAAGAATTACCTCCAATAAATATTCAGAATGGAGGTCTCTTATTATTTCTTGGCCATCCTTTGCGTTACCTGATATGACTGCTTTTTTACTCAGATCAATATCTTCTATCTATCTATCTATCTATCTATCTATCTATCTATCTATCTATCTATCGGTAGATAGATATGGTTATAGGTATAATGGAACCCATTTAGAGTAAATTGAACTAGCAATGCGTTTAATGTGGTAATTCTTCTTTTCTTTTTCACTATTAGGTTAAATTGGGTGAAGATGCCCCCAATTCCAGCGTGGTGCATGTGTCCAATCCTGAAGCAGGTAGCAATTATGCCTTGGAGAAGACAGCTGATGGGGCAGAATGTCACCTCCTTGACTTTGCCAGCGCAGAGCGCCCATTGGTGGTCAACTTTGGTTCAGCTACCTGACCACCTTTCACGAGGCAACTGCCAGCCTTCCGCCAGTTGGTGGAGGAGTTCTCATCAGTGGCCGACTTCCTGTTGGTATACATTGATGAGGCTCATCCTTCAGATGGCTGGGCAGTGCCTGGGGACTCCTCTCTGTCTTTTGAGGTGAAGAAGCACCGGAGCCAAGAGGACCGATGCGCAGCAGCCCACCAACTCCTGGAGCGTTTCTCCTTGCCGCCCCAGTGTCAAGTTGTGGCTGACCGCATGGACAATAATGCCAACGTAGCTTACGGGGTAGCCTTTGAACGTGTGTGCATCGTGCAGAGACAAAAAATTGCTTATTTAGGGGGGAAGGGCCCCTTCAGCTACAACCTCCAAGAAGTGAGGAGTTGGCTGGAGAAGAACTTCAGCAAGAGATGAATTCTAGATTAGCTGGTTTAAAGGTGTGATTGTAATAGTGTTTATTATTTTAAAAAAATATGTAAAAGAAGTTGAGAACTGAACTGAATCTACTATTTCAACTGAATCCCATTGCCTCACTGAAAGACAGGGGTATACCTGTCAGTAAACAAACCTCTGAACATTTCAATACTTCCTTTAGTACACAAATGGCATCAGGATAAATAGCAGCCCTGTTACCTCCCATCTGAGTGAACTGATCCAAGCTGGAGTGGAAGAAACCATGATTCAGTATGTGTTCATCCTTGCTTGCAAAAGAAGTGACTCTGCTATATGTGTGCTTTGGGACCAGAGGACAAGAGTTCCCTAAATACCTAATGTTAAGGGAAGCTACTACCTATGACCTGATGTATTGTCTCAGCTTTAGTCATCAGGAACAAACCCAACTGGAAACTCCCCCAAAACTTACTTATAATGTGATCTTGAAGCCATGATGTGCACTTAGGACTGAGGTGTTAGTTCTAGTCATGCAATGCCTTGTGCTAGTATCTGTAGCCCAGAATTCCCAAGTGTGTATGTAGAAACCAAGAATGAGTCCCAACCTGGAGGGTTAAGATGGCATCAGAAATCTGGCAGATGGAAAAAGCATTAGGTCAGAGAAAATGAGCTTAACAAATGAGGAAAGAGGTATCAGGAAGAGGAGGAAATTGCATAGTGTTTTACCTGGAAGCTGTAGGCAATAAGAATGCCATCCAACCACACCTTCATGGAAAGCATGTACACAGTTGGGAAAAGAAAGGGGTTGTCTAAAAATATCACGGGGAGAATACACAAGGAAACAAGATATGCAGCAGTACCCTTAGACTGAGAGGAAACGGGAGATGGGAAAGATAAAAATGGTGAATGTTTTTTTTTTTTAATGTGGAGTTAACTACTTTATAGAATTGTCTGTGAAATACCCATTTCTGTGGGTGATACCCATTAAGGGAAAATTCAGGGGGGTCTGGTGCTGCTGGGTTGTTCCTGCCAAATTCCTACAGTTACAATGTTGCACTCCCCTCCATCCTTAATCTCTGAAACATTTGTTTTCTCTGGGTGCTGAGTGAAGGGTGTAGGAGCCAGGTACCCTAGCCATTCAGCTCCTGCCCTCTCCTAATGGAGGTGAACTCAGATGAATATGGGTTTACTCTGATGATTTCTATCTATATTTTTGAAGTCTTAGACATAGATGATCCTTGGAGTCACAGGGATTTGCTAAACTGGTGTTTCCACTGACATTTGAGTTTGGACTTGGGTTTTCCTTTAACTGGGGTTAACCTATTAGTTGAAGTTTAGTAACTATGTGCATAGCTATGATTATATTTATGGATGGATTTCTCTTTAAATGAGAGAAACACAGCTTTACCCACCAGTACTACATAAAGACCACAGCCTCCAAAAAGCAACTGATGTTGTATCATAATTATTTTTTTCAACTCAAAAGGCTTTCTGCATAGCATATGGTTATATTTATAGGTCAAATGAATTGGTTTTTATGTTTATCCCTTTCAATAATTGAATCTAAAGCTGAACTATATAGGAAAAGATAATCTAAAGTTAAACGTATCTGTTAAAATAGTTGTCCCAAATGAGAAAACTAGGAAGTGGGTGTATATAAAACAAAAGTATTGTTTTTTAAAAAATGAGAGTAAGAAATGAGTCAGATCACTAGCCCATATCACTTAGCTATTAAAGCAGCATTGTGGCTAATAATTTGGCAGCATCTAAGATTGCCAGTGCTTTAAATCCTGCAGGAAACAACCACAAAGAAACAAATCAAAATTTCAAGAGTGCAATGGTATCTGATGGACTGTTGTAAAATCGTATAGAAGATAGACTACTTCAGACTCCTCAGATGTTAAGGTTTGCAATCAAGGCTTATCAGTTATTCATCTTTAATTTTAATCTTCAAGATGGTGTTGAGATTTATGTGACTCCCTAAAGAAGCCAAATGAAGAACTGGTTTCAGAACACTCACATTGTGACCCATAAATGCTCCCCTTTGTTTTCATGTGCCATAGTGTAACAGGATGTCAGAGAAGTGGGTGGGGGGATGAGTTTTGTCTAATGTGATGCTAGTTGTCTGGGGAAAAGAGTGATGGAAACAAATCACCCAGTTGTGCTCTATATTTTTTTTAAGAAAGAGAAGGTTGTATGTGCATACAATTTGTTTTCTGGCGGATAGGCCAATGGAGGAAAGAAGAAGAGGAAGTAAACATACAAAGACATAGTTTGACTGTCAGGGACACGGACATGTTCACTAGAACATGGCAGAAACACTGGAAGGAAAGCTGTTGAAGGGCCCGGGAAGAAAGTGGATTGGCAGAGCTCAGGAATTTTACACTGTGTAGAATGGGGTGCTCTCCCAGATACTATAAGCCTATAATTATGTAAACTATTTATCTCAATGTAAACATCTATGAGTTCCTATGATGTGCCTTTTATAAAATTAAGAAGTCATTAATTTAGGCAAGAAAATCAATGCTCAGCTATTGTGTTCAGTGGTACTATTAGGCAGGCAGTGCCCATCTACCTAATATGCCTTCTATAATGTATATTCCTTTGAAGAATTATAGTTATAATTCTCACAGGGAAATACACACACACACACACACACACACACATATATATATATATATATATATATGTATACTCTCACAAAGATATATATATATATTAGTACATAAGCATTTTCCCCTATAAGATATGTTTACATGGTGATATCAGTCTAGACTTTTAAACTGGATTGGCCTGTCTATCACTATTGAAACAGTTTCTCAGAGCTTACCATAGCATCTACATTTCTAAAGCACTTAGTGTTTGAAAGACATCTTGGACCATCACTTTCATTTTTTGGTTAAAGGAAACAATCTGGACAATGGATTTCTTGAATGGGCATGAATAAAGTGCCTGCCCAGCAAATGTAGACATACTTCAAACAAGTGCCATACACCTCTGTGGAGGGAGACCAGTCATTGTTCTTGCTCTGTGTTGCCAAAGTAGCAGTCATTTAACTCACATGTTAACTTTATTCATGCTTCATGTCTTTACCTTGCTCATAGTTTATGTCCCTGAATTTTTGGTAATATCAGCTTCTAAGTGGTCTATTAACTTAGTTAAATTCTTCTAATAATCAAAAGACACTTGTTCTCTGATCCCACTGCCTGAGTGTATTTTACTATTTGGGTTTGAATACAATTTACAGAACATTGTGAAGTCACAGTGCTGCCTCACACAAATTACTGGAGGAGACGGTTGCAGATCATATTTATGCTTTCCAGAGAATTCTCAGGTGGATACAAGTGGCCCTTGGCATGTCCCTTAGCCTCCATCCACAGCAAGAGGGATTTGTTGGTGTCCAGGGCTCCCTGGTATGTACATCATAAGAGGTTCAACCTGGTCCTTAGTTCCACCTGACCTCTGGCTGATGGTTTGAAAAATAAGTTTAATTAAAATCCCTTGGCCACTGCAGAGGGGGAAATTAGACTGATTTCTGTCCCAGTGAGGGATAAAGAAAGACTTAGACCAGGGCTGCAGTGAAAATTGACTGTGAGTATTTTAATTTGGGGACCTTTATGACATAGCCCCAAACTAAAATCCAAGTATATTTAGTTAGAATCCAACTTTTGCCATTGCCTTAAATATAGAAGCCAAACCCACTCTTTATATGGACTTCCAGAATGCACATAAGGGTCACTTGCTGCTTGATGATGGTACTGTCTTGGGACTGTTTCGAATCCCCCTAGAAAAGGAATCTGAGGCTGTATGAACTAGGGAGCTGCTAGCTGGGAGGAATTAGCCCCCACCCCCATGGGCTTGGCTTACAGATTTGGAAAAATTTGAAATGAGACTTCTTATGCTTAGAGGATGGCTGCTGGGTGTCAGTAAATGACTTTAGGGTGAGCAAGCATCAGGCCTCTGTTTCATGCTATGTGTTCTAGATAATACCAGAAACAAGGTCTCAGACTTGACAGACTCAGCTCTGTTTCAAGATGAGTCTGAACCAGCAAAAAAGCAAACACGTACAGATATCCAAACAAGACTTTTTCTGCAAGCCAGGGCTTGCTGCCTGTCTTGGGCAACAGCACCAGGGCTCTGGGGAGTTTATTCAATATTTACTGAGACTTTGGAGACCTAGCAGATGTTTAATGAAGTCACTATTTTGGCTCAAACTGCCCTCCCCCATCTGCCTTGAGAAAAAAATAAATTCAAACAGGTAAACATAAAAATGAAAGAGGCCCACAGAAGGGGATGGGAAATAAATAAAATCCTCTCAAAACCATTCCGGACCATGCCTCATGGTTTGTATGTGTCAGGAGTGGGGGATGAGAAGACCTATGTACCATGTACTTGATAACCAAAGCAATTAATTGATCTTGGGTAGGGAACGTTGGCCAGTTTTGTTTAGTTTTGTATCTGTTGTCACCAGACTCACAAGCCCAGATAACCAGACAACTGAAGGGGGAAACCGAGATGTGCAGAGCTTACTGGTGTGCAAATGATAACTACTGACGAAAGAGTCACCCACTCAGTCTGTGGTTGGATGTAGTCACATGAGTCTGACTCTCCCATCTCTGTCTCCCTAGCAAGGAGAATATTTGGGTCATGATGCAAAGTGTGCTGGGTCAATGCGATGAGAATGTGTGTGTGTCCATCTCTGCTTCTTGGTTGCAGATGAGAAAAAAAGCTTTGGGGATTATCAGTAGAAAGAGTGTTATTCTATCGGTGCTGAGTGGTATGTGTGCTCTTACAACTTGTTCTTATATTTTAATAAAGTTTGAATAAAAGAATAGAGTTACTTTTTGGTTCCATTTGTTTGTTTATAAATAACTTTCTAGACCTTTCTCTGGGCTGAAACACACTCATGGTTGACAAGGGGAAGAGAATCCATCATTCTTATATTTACTCCTTGGAATTTGTGGGCAAAGCAGCCAGCAACGCCAGGTTATTTCCATCAAATGCTATGTGCCAGGGTTTTCAAGGAAATCAAGATGAGTTCAAAGTAAACATTCAGATATTTTCCATATTTATTGACAAATTACACCCAGGATTCAGGAAAAGGGGCCTGACTCTAGACACGGTGAAGCAAACATTCACTTTGTTAGATTTGTATTCTAGGTTTTCTAAGTGTGAGGAACATTCAAGAAGTTGGTTAAAGCAACAAGATGCAGACACACATACACAGTCATACATACACACACACACACACACACACACACACACACACACACACTATTTGTTATGTGATCAGCAATGCACTAATGTAACTCAAACATCAGACCCATATATATCACGTATGTCTCAACGTGAAAGGGTATAATGAATGAATGTCCCATGGAGGCCACAACTGGAAATAATAAAGAATATGTTTAGAACGGGGGTTCAAAGTGTTTTCTTTCTCAGATTACTTAAACAAAAGTTAGTATTTCATGAGACCCTGTTTTCTCATGATATTTTACCCACAGTTTTATTAATACTTGTAGCATCTTACGTACTACTCTGAATTTTAGTAGAACAATTTTTAAAAATTATTTT